CACTCAGGAATTAACACCTGCACCCTGAAACACAGACAACAATCCTGTCCTTGTACTGCTTATCATTTTCCAGCCAACTCCCTGATACTCAAGGCTGCTGTGTCCAGCATGGGATGTTCTCATGGGAAAGGCCTAACACTATCCAATATTTCAAGCTCCTCAAGCTCCAGGGGCTCAGCGGACCTGCCGCTTCCCCCCACACAAAGTAGAGACACTTCAGCAAGAAAGATGGCAAGAATCTCAGTCCAACACCACCTCTCCCTCTTATCCCCCCCGTTGTTGGGGTACTCTTGTGTGAGAAGTCAGGAAAAGGGGCCTTTTACATGTCCCAGGCCTTACAAACTAATGAGATGTCTGGAGTGGATGAGACACTCAACTTTGGGTGAGTATTTTACTTCCCAAGTTCAAAAGAAATCTGCGGGTTGGAGAATTTTGAGGGGTTGACTTTTTTAAAAATCCTGATGCGGACTATAAATGGGTTTTTTTATATTTCAAATGAAGTTTAATAGATGAGGAAGAAGATTCCTAACAAATGCTGACCATACCATCAGCGAGCAAAAAATGACAGCCAAGTCACAGCGACTATTGGAGTACCATAAACCTCATTTTTTTTCTGGACCAAATGTGAGTGGTGCTTTTAGTACTGAAATATCCAAAAGTAAAAACAGCAGGAAGGAAATGAAAGAATAAAGGACAAGTCAAAGATGAAGAACCTGGAGCTACCAGTTGTTATCATGAGTTTCATGCTGTGCTGTCTGAGCAGAATATACTTCTAAATACCGGCTTTCACTCGGCTCACTGAGCAACTCATTTTTTGACAGACTGGCAACTGACTGGAAAGTTTATTCTCCATAAGAATGTAAGTTGATATGAGACTAACCCACCATTAAGCATTTGCTTGTCATCTCAAACAGGCTTTTATTTAGTACCTTTACACAGAAGAGGGAGTAAATAATGATAGACTAAAAAAGCCCTCCTCTGGTAAAAACTAAAAATTAAAACTCCAGTAGATACTAAGGGATTCATTTTTCATGGTGTTTATATACAGTGGGCATATTCAACATCGTTCTTCTAGTAAATTCATCTGTGTCTTAACACTCATATTTAGTGAGTTTGTCCCTTAGATTATTTTAAATCTATAACATTTCTAAAAAGAACTGTCCTGGCAGTGTGTCAGAGTGGGGAAGGAGATGCTAAAACCATTCTCTTTGTGAACAGAAAATATTCGAAATTCAAAACATGAAGTGTCATAATTGTTCTAGAGCAAGAGCTGCATTCAGGCTGTCTTGAGTTTATGCCAAAGCCATTTTTGTAGCCACTATTGGAGAGAGAAGACATCTTAATTAAACTCTGCCTTTGTTGAAGACATCAGAAAAGCTACTGGCAGAGTGTGCTAACTGCAATCATGCATCCTACCATTACCACTGACAAGGAAAAAACCAATAGAAGTGGGCTGCAAGTGGCTGCTGTCACACAAATTGCTGTAGAAGAAAGCTGTTGCTTGTCCGTTCAGTATGTCTTTGAATTTTAAGTGACAACGTCTAATAACCACGAGTCAGAATAATTTTTTCCACAGTAGAGCTTTACTGACATGTCACACTGAACTGTTCAACTTCAGAAGTCAAGGTGCAAAATAAGATCAATGAAAATCATTAGGAGATGTTGAACTTTGATTGTTGATCCATGGTGAAGTTTGGTTTTTTTGTTTCTTTTCCCCTGAAGTCAAGGTGTTTAAAATTATATAGAAATAGTATTGTTCACAAAAAACACTTCGGTGTGGCAGCTAGGACTTTGAGAATACTAGTAGCAGTATATCTATAATAAAATCACCCTTATCATGTTCATTTGTGGTTTATTATTTAGTTGTATTTTCTTGCCATTCTCTTACTCTTACGTGTGGGAAGATAAAGGCATGTGTGGGGTTTAATGGATAAGAATAAATGCTGATCTGTCCATCTGTGTCACTGCCGTTAGAGTTAAAGAATGGTAACATACCCAGTACACTTGTGGACAGGCAGCATCAGTCTTCTGCTATTTTTTCTGGGCTTTGCTGTTCGCTCCTGCTGTCTAGCAGACACTATTAAAAAAAAAGATAAACTAAAAGAAAGTGTGGTCAAGAAGGATTTGAGAAGCTCATTTGTAAAACATCTGATGCTAAGACTGTTCCTGTAATGTTATTAAGAGACAATGGGTAGAAAAAATACCATAGAAATTCAAAGACTAGCAGATTTCTCTTCTCTGCTTGCTGCTCAGGTGCCTCAAAAAGGACCTGAAAGAGTAATTTATCTTTCTGCCAGGAGAAGAGATAAATTCCTTGCTTGACAGGATTGTCTGCTTCATCTTGGAGATATTTACCTTGAAGCTGTATGGAGTAGTCTTTGTGACTATTGCTTATTATGACTCACATAGAGATTGATGTGTCATTTCATACAACTCTATCACTAAATCTGGGTTGCATTTTGGATAAGATCAAAGAAATACCATGTCTAATTTCCGGTTCCCCCAGTTTTCTGAGCACTGTTGAGCTAAAACATTTAGTTGTTTTTTACTTTGATTCTGTGATCTGATGCACTGTGATATATGTTTACTAAAGATTAGAATCAAGAACTAGTAAAAAATGCATGATTAAATTACTTGTCAGGAATACAAGTTTTAATCTTACCACGGACAGGGGGGGCCTTAAGGTAGAAAAGATGTTCTTAGGCAAAAAAGATTCTGATAATCCACAGGAAAAAAAAACAAACAACAAAGTAAGAAGAAAGTTTCACTTGCTACATAACAATAGTTATTATTTTGCTATGTTTGGATTTGAGTGAACAAATAAATGGAGGATTCATACTCTCTCATCACACATAGGCTGAAAAGCTAGCTGAAGTGGATAGCTATGCACTAAGGTACTTTCATTCAGGTATAATTTTGGATGGTTGGTAAAGCAGGGTTAACTTTAAATAATGTTTTTGATGAAAACATACTCAAAGGATTGTTAGAAAGTAGATTTGTCAATTTGAAAAAAAATTAATAGAATGAGTATAAAGAACAATTTTGAAAGTCACTTCTAAGTTCGACATTTTTCCCCTGAAGCAATAAATGTAAACAACTGGTGACAGTGAGTTGACTGTGCTTTGCCTTCCTATGAAATTTTGCACTAGAAAGTGTTGATAAACAATAATTTATTCATAATTCTATAGGTATAGAAAGTGTTTTTCAAAATGCTGATACTTTTCCTGTAAATAATATTTAAAGATCTAGTTTTAGTAACATTTTAAAAATTATTTTATTTAGTCTTTAAAAATGTCCTTTTTAATACATGTTAAGTAAGCATGTTTAAAATTGTCAGTTTGAAAGTACACATTGAAAGCATATGTTGATATGAAATAGCTCTTGTCTCCTTTTTAAATTATGAAAATAGTTTTGAGTTGCCTGATGAAGTTGATGGAGACATTCAAAGATAATACACTTTAATATGTTTATAAATTTTTAAAAAATATTTCTTTCTGAGTATTCCTACATAAAGACAGAAAACTTTTGCTAATTTAAAAAATCATGGAAAGCAAAATCTGCAGGTACAATAAATTTAAAAAAATAAGCTGTAATGTGCTTCTTACATGTTAATCATCAAAAGGTAATGTTATTTATTTGCATGCCTCAGAAGTCTTATAATGTTACTATTTATAGTAACAGTTTTATTATATTTACAGTTTAATCTTGTATTTTTAATTTAGACGGGTTTATTGTTTAATATGACTTTGTAATTTGGATATTCAATAAAAACATTTTCAGAATAATTTCATAGAACCGAGCCTCTGTAGAAAACTTCAGAACATACAACTTAGAACCAGTTTTGTTTACTAGTGTTTGTTTTCACCTCCCCATAGGATACTGTAAGTAACCCAGATTGATTAATTGTGAGAGCAATTATACAGAGATTCAAGGAGGATTTTATATTCTGGCCACAGGGCTGCATGGAGATACTTTCTGTCTTAGAAGTTCACCACTTTGTTGCATATCTGTATCAAAATCTTTATGAATTTAGGTCACTACTGTGGAACTAAGTATGATATGACATAGATGCTTTTAATCGTAATGTTCTCACAAGTTTATATACTGGCTGCCTGGAGCTGGGACTAATAGTTAATGTTTAACAATATTAATACCAATATCACACAGAGGTAGTACTGTTGATTTTTTTAAGATGTGATGTCTTCTTTCCCTGAACCAGTTTTGAAACAGCTCAATTCGTAATTTGGTAAGGCAACATCCATGCTGTGAATCAAAAAGTTTGCGACTTGGCAGTCTCTGTCCAATTCTTAGAACTTTTCATATATGCAGAGTATTAAAGAAAGTACCTTCATTGTTCAGCTACCTGAATTTCCCATGGCTTTATCTTACTGAGGATTTTCCCTCCTTTGAAGAAAGGTTATATCTTGCCCTGATCATGTGTGTTTTTCCCTGGGGGGTGTAAGAGGGCAGGTGGGTTGAATCCGCTTCTAGATTGGTAAAATATTTTGGGAACTATTGAGATGGTACTGTTACAAATTATACCAGATTAGTCTATCACTTCAGTAGGAAAGGAAACAGACCTTTTCCTTCCAGTTTCTTTAAAACTTATGTGCAGTACAGTAAGTTACTAACATGTATGAAACGAGTAGAGTTTTTCAAATGTTTTGTTATTTTCTGTAAGGGACTATACTTGTTGCTGAAGTCTAAAATTTTTTGCAGGGCTTAATCTGGTTTGAGCTTTTGACTGTGGGTATTTGGGATGTTCTTTTTTCTCTGTTTTACCTGTGAAGAATGTTGGAGGCAGAGAACAGGACACACAACTGATCTAATAACACTCTCCAGCAAGATTTTTCTCCATCTCCATCAGCACACATCCTGTTGTAGTACTTACTTTTAAGACAGCAATGCTACTTCACCAAACTTCCTCCTACAGTGAGAGAAGTAGGGATAACTCTTGGAAAAAGTTTTGAGGCTAGTGACAAAATATGTTTGTCTTTCAGATCCCCAGCTCAAGGGTATAGTGACCAGGTTATATTGCAGGCAAGGCTACTACTTGCAAATGCACCCCGATGGAAGTCTCGATGGAACCAAGGATGACAGCAGTAATTCTAGTAAGTGACTGCCCCAGGGGAATGTCTTAATCACACACACAGATCGCATCGCTCGAATGTGTATGCACAGACACGTGTTAATGCATTTGAAGGGTTTCTGAATGTGTTGTGTTCAAAGGAGGAGGGTTCTGTCTGTTTGAAGCTTGATGACCACCAGCATGGCTCATACAGGACATTGGCCTAAATATGTTCCCTCTGAAGAGAAAGGTGTAAATGCCCATGGACCTTACGAGTGAGATATTTAGGCCAATGATTGTCTTCTGGTAATTTTATAAAAATGGTAAAATTATATTAAGATATTTTTTAATAAAAATTATATCTTTCACATAATTTTTTTACCTTCCAATAAATAACAAAAAACAAAAGAGATGGAAACTAAATTTCCCTGAAAAATCTGGATATATAGGCCCTAATTCAGCAAAGCAAATAAATGTACATTTAACTATTAAAATCCTGCTTAAAACACACGCTGAAGTACCTTGCTGAATTGGGGCTAAAAATCCTACAGTCCCTATACCAGAAAGAGTTCCAAGGACCTTTAGAGAATTTCTGCCACTGTAGGGGCTGCATAAGTGACAGTTTTCAAAAATATTCCAAACAAAAGCAGTCTTGAAAGGCCATGTGGCTGACTGCTTTGATACACTTTTCCTATGATAAGGCCACATATTTTCATTTAATGAGGATATATATGTTTGACAACTTCAGCTGCAAATGATAATTAAAAAAGCCTATTCTTACTCTAAAAACAGTTGATTTGTATATTTTAGTTTGATTTGTATATTTTAATTATAATAACATATTTAAGTAACGTTTCTGTGTGACCTTGAGTTCTATTTTAGGTACTTTTAATACAAAAGCTTTATCTTCTTGTTATGCATACATATACATAAATAAACCTTCAGTTTCCTCAAAAATCTTGGAATTAGGTTACAGAAATTAGGGGATTTGAGGTTTCTGCTTTACATTGGTAAGGTCTTATTTTATCTGTTAATGCATGGCTGTCATTTATAACACTTTTCATCAACAGATAACATGATCATCTTTTATTGTTTTGTTTTTTTAAAGTGAGAAAAGCTGATTAATCTATTTTGATGTGTATTTCTCTGCCTGCTTTCCAAGTGTTTTTGTTCCTCCCCACATCCTCCCTCCCCACCCCATTCCTTGTTTATTTTCTTCCCTCACTGTGTCCATCTCTCATTCCCACTTCTGTACTGGACTAGATACTAAGACCTTATACAGACAAGACTGTTATTGCCTTTTATAGAAGCTTTCCCTAGATGAGGTCTGAGAAATATATCTTAGAGTGAGAGTGTGTGTCTCTCTCTACCCATCTCTCTTATTTTCTGCTTCAGCAAGAAGGTGTGTATGACTACAATAATTTTGTAAAGTTTTATTGTTTTTTCTGAGAGTTTTTTAAAATCTTAGAACTCTATGAATTTGGATTCTTTGCAAAACTAGATCATACTACTTTTCTCTTTTTGCTGTTGTCAGCTTCACAAATCTTTTTTTTTTTTTCTTTCTATTTAGTTTACCTTTCTCTCCATTCTTCCCTGCCTTTCTGGTTTTCCATCTGTCTATCCATCTCTTTTATTCTTCTTTTCCCAAAATGCAGAATGACTTATAATATTATAATTATTATATATGTATCATTATAATATTATAATTAATATTATAAATATTAGGAAATATAGAACTTCTCCAAACTCAACCAAATACCAGATAGCAATATTGTGTATTTTGGATAAATATTGTTAGATAACATTGTGTTTTACTTCAAAATTATTTTTAAGCTAATTTTTTTCCATAAGAGTATTTTTTTCTGTCTTTAACTGGTGTGATTCTCTATTTTTTTATTCACTAGTCCAATTTTACAACATTTTTTAGTAAAGACAGTTTAGAACAGAATGCAAAATTGATGTGTTTGCCAGGAGGGCCTATAATGTCCGCCTGAAATTTTGCTGGTATAGATGTATCAATACTATATTAAGAGCTGAAAAGATTGATCTAGTTGGTCTATTCATTAATATAAAAAGATATAAATATATGTCTGTTTCTTTTGTGCTGTCAGTATTTCTCCTCATTTTTTCCCTTTCCACTCTATTTCCTCCCATTTCCTGTTGAACTTTTTTTCCTATTGCTTTTGTTTATTGCAGCATATTTTGGTTTTCCTTCTCTCTTTTACTTTAAAACAACAATTTTCTCATGGATAGAATTCCTAGTATTTTGATATTTTATTTTCTGAGCTCCTTAGCATGATAATTTCTGTCTGAGGCTTACAAGTAAATAACTTCTGGCAGTGTCCCAAGGAGAAAATCCTACTTCTGATCATGGTGTTTACAGACTGCCTATTTAATGTGCCCAGTGGGTGAAGGGATGGACATATATTAGCTGTCAGTAGGACAGATATGCTTATCTTGATAGTGAAGATGACTTCCATTTGATTGTGTTCATAAAAAAAGAAAATACAGACTGCCAAAGGGTGTGCATCTCTGCCAGCCTTCCACCTGTCTTCTGCACTAGTCACTGAAGAGAGTGCACTGGCCATCCGAGTAAATGGGTGTCAGAGAAGCAAGGCGTGAGAGGTAGAAAAAGATGTATTTTCTTTTTTGTCATCAGCAAGGAAACTGTTTGAAGCTTAGTCATGCTGCTGCTTTTTGTGCTGTTGCAATGTATTCTGTGTCAAGCAGTTAGAGGAGTGCTTGAAGTTAAAATTCCCTCAAGTGCCTATATAATTTCGTACTCATTTTATGTGTATGTCAGTAAACAATAAGTTACACACTATTGGAGTCGCAGTGTTACAGAGAGGTAGCGCAAACCAAGATTAAGATGTCATTAAAGCTTCTCAGTTGTCTCTTGAATGACATTTTGCTTCTATTTGAAGTCAAAATGAGTTGTACCAGTGGATTTGATCAGCTGCTCTAGTGCAAGCCATTGTCCTAGCTTGCCTTAAGTCTGAGTAAAGGCTAGAGTCTGCAGAGAGAGAGATGGCAAGATTTTTAGTACATTGCTGCACACAAATCCTTCCATGAAAAAGGAAGAAAGATGTGACTACTTGTAATATCATCCCTGGAGGTACTTTTGTCTGTTCATGTTGATGGCCATGATATTAGAACTCAATCTAAACAGATTGATAGGTTTCAGTTCAGTGTTGTAATTTCTATGTATAACTTTTCCAAGTTAATCATGTTTTGTGAAAGTGTGAATTAATGCACCTATTGGTTAATGGTGCTGAGTTTTCTTAGATCACATCACCAGATCAAGGCTCTTAGCTTAAGCAATCTTGTGTGTTCAGTCTGTGGGTTTTTTTGCCCCACTCTCAACCATATGTGAAAAGAGGCTTTAATACATTGCTTTTATTCTTTTAGCTGGTTTTCTCTTTTTTGTTTCTCTAATGCCTTACAGTTTATGGTTTGCTTTTGGAGCATGCTTGTAGCAAAGGCAGGAGTGACTGTGGTTAAAGCTGTAGGCTTGATTACTGAGGTCCTACTCAGTGTAGCTGTACCTCTCTAGTTCTAATTTTCCTGGATTTTACAGATGCAAATGCAATTTGCTTCAGTGTTGTCCATGGGCCTTATCATTATTAATTAGGTAAGCTACAAGCTACTACACAGAAATCATAAAGTATAGAAGAGATTTCCATATGTGCTTGTGGTAACAAGCATTACATTCTCCTCCTGTCCTCCCCACCTAAACCAGCTCATTTTTAGGTTTTGGTCTATCTTCAAAGTTTTGTCTTATGAATGAAGGGTAGGTTCTGTAAGAAGACTAATAAATTTGAGAAACAGACAATTCTGATTCTTTAATCTCTGAGATCAAAACCCTAAATCTTTTAGATCTATGGCTTCTTTTGATTCACCTAGAGAGTGTATCTCAGCCAACAACCACTGAAAAAATTCAACATAAATGGTGATACTTTCCTTTATAGGAGATAGACCTGATTGTAACACTTGAATGTTGCTGTTTGCACCCCTTATGAATTACAGTCATGTTCAGAACATGTTTATAACGTGCTGTAATGAAAAGGCATTACTCATTGGTAATTAGCCTTATTTCATAAACTGATAAATGACAAAGTTAACATTAACCAAGCAACTTTGATTTGGCTTTGCTGTGTACATCTCTTCCTTTATTATTCTGCAGCGTGCTTTACCTCCTTTGTGGTGCTTGGTATCTGGTAGAGTTGCTGTTCAAGAAAATCCTGCAACCATTTAAAACTCTTTTATTTGCATCTTTTCATGCATGTTCCTAATATTTTATTTATATCTTCCAAATTGAATATGGAACTATTAACTTTTTAATGTCTTTCTAAAGTACCTACCCCTATCACATTTTGGTTTGAAGATACTAATAAAGTAATCTTTACAGCACCCTTTCAATGTAAAGGAGATAATTAGACAGAAATAAAGCACATGAAGATTAAAAAACAACACCTGCAGCGCTGTTAAATTTGGATTAATGAACGTTAAATTTGGATTACTGCACTGAAATACCTGCAGCCTGATTTTCACACTGCTTTTTACTGAAGTTTGTCTTCCAAGAATTATACAGGCATTTATTCATCTACCTACACTACCTCTGGGAGTTAGGTAATATTATCCCTTTGGGATAATCTTAATCTAACAGAGTCAGTGAAGGCCATGTTCAGTTATGTTTTAATTATGTCTTGTGTAAAGTCAGGTAGGTAGAATGAGTTTGCTCCATAAGAAATGGATGGACAGACCTCTAACTACCAACCTCTTTGCACTCATTGCCAATCTAAGAGATGTTCTGATGGAGTCGCCATTTTTGCCTATGGACCTGCAGATGAAAATAAATTAAAGAAATAGTTGCCTTGATCTGATTGAAGATTTGGTGCTGTGGAAAGTTTTGTTAACTGACACAAGAGCACAGCACATTCAGAAGAGACAGCAAATTTATAAACCTTAAGCAATCGTTTTTTAGCAAGCTTCTTGAGAAAAACAGTGATCTGCAATAGCAATTTTCTTGTAGCTACAAGTCAGTTGTACCTAAATAGACTTTCATAAGTAAATGGAAATATCTGATTTTAGGCATTTCAGATTTCAAATTAATAGACTATGACAATATTGCATAAAATAAGGAAAAAGTTATGTGATGGTTTTGTGTTTTGCTCAAGAAAGGAGGGATTGCTTATAAAAAAAATAGAAGTGGACTTAAACTTTGACTAAAGCTTTGTGAGGATTAGAATCCAACTCAGATTTGGAGTTCCTGCAAGTCTCCTCCATGACACCTGAACAAATAACCATTTTCATGCTGGTTGTTCCTACTAACTGGCCCCCACCCCCATTTTCTGATCTTGTGTGTGATGGGAATAGGCTTAGGCTTGTAGGCTTAGAAGAAGGAGGAGAAACTGTGTGCTTTATGGTCACGGTTTAGATGGAATACAAATCAAAGCTAAGGGAGTGCACAGACTCAGTGCTGACAAGAAGAAAGGGTTTTACTCAAACCATTTTTGCCAATCGGTTCCTTTGTTTTCCTTAATGTTCCCATGTCTTATTTACATTTGGTTTCGCCAGGCTTTCTGCTTAAGTGTGCAGCATAGGAGCACTGAGCATCAGGTAGAGTTATATTTCCTAGGCTGAAAGAGGGTGCCCCCCTCTCTCAACTCATCTATGGACTCACTGAACTGGGTTTAGGTACATAAAGATGTTCAGGAGCCTCAATTTCCAGTTATTTTTGGTTTTGGATCAATGTCTTAAAGACAGAAGAAAGCTGAGGAAATGGTTCTTTTTCACAGCTCCCTTGGGTAAGAGCATAGCTTTGGCTGTGCAGAACTGAAATGCCAGCAGACTCTGGAAGGCTTTCTGCTTCTCTCAAAGCAGGTTCTTATTAGAGTGGGGGATAGCACAGGTGAATCCTAGGAAGGTTTGAAATGTGTAATAAGCACAAAAGTCTTGTTCATTAAAGAGTATTGCACAGTCATGTTCTGGAGGAAATTGACTTTCCTTTGGCCACCTTCAAAGCACCTCAAAAGCACATACTGTACCTTCCTGATACATGTTTTGCTGACCCCAGTATGAAATATATTGCTGAACATTTGTCAATTGAAGACTGAATGTAGACTGGCCTACCTAGTTTCAACCAAGTCTGAAAGATTTTGTGAAATTTACTGAATTTTCTGTATGTGCAGAATTGCAACATTTCAGATCATACTCTAAAATTTTGTGGTCTTAGGCTAATTACAGGAGCTCTGACAGTCTCCAATTAAAATCTAGTGGCAGTAAAAGATACATTACATGCCCTCTTCAATGCTTTCTTAATTCACTAGCAACTGCTCTAGTAATTTTATAGGTTACATAAAACACTGCCACGTTACAAGCCTCTAATTCTTCTTTAGTGATGGCTGGGGTTTTCTTCTAGCTCTGCTGCTTTATTTTTATTGGCAATGCAGCAAATAATATCTATGTTCCAGAATTTTTTTGACTGAACCTCTATGATTTGGAATTATTTTTCCATAGCAGTTTTCATGGCTGACTTGTCTTTTGTGTTCATTTCTTTTCTTTATGCAAATATTGTTTGTTTTTTCTTTCTGGTGCCCTTTCAATTGTTGCTGCCCCCCTCTAGCACGGTGTTAATATGCAGGTTTCCTCCTCCCCTGCAATTTCTTTTCTTCTAGGAAAAAAACCCAAACTGAACTGCTATCTGAAACTTAGTTTTGCTCTGACAGACTCCCCATCCACCATCCACAACAGTGATTTTGCTGTCTTTGAACTGTTTCTTTTCAGGGTAATGACTTTAATTTTTGACTTTCAGATTATATTGAACATTTGAAAGCTCTCAAGCCATGCAGTGTTTAGCCTATATACTCTTAGGATATCTTATCAATGAGTGCCATATTTCACTGTTTATCCTAATATAGAGAGGGAACCTTGTCTGTATCCAGTATTTTTCTAGTGAACAGCCCACTAAGATCCTAGCATAATGGAGACTTTTGGAAATTACAGAAATTAAAATGCTATTTATTTGTGCTAATTCTTGTCATCTCTTCTATTCTTCTTTGCAAGCGCCCCAAAAAATTGTTGTCTGTTCTTCTAGAGCTCTTTTGAATATATTTTTCTTTCTACATCTTTAGGAAGTACTCTGCTACAATTCCTAGCTTTATACTGGCTTCATGTGTTCGTAAAAAGATCTAATGTTACACCCTTTTCTGCATAACAACGTTGAAGGAAAAGTATCTTTTTTTTTATCCACTTCTATCTTTAAGTTCTAGTAGTCAACCTATGCTTTTTCTCAGTTGTAAAGATTTGATCATCTTCCTCATAAACAAACTGTGGATTTGTGTCCTTTGACCAAACAGGAGTTTTCACACCTTGAGAAATGTACTTATCCACTGCAAGTACATGACACTTATTCTCTTGATTTTGGCTTTAACTCTGGCATTCTGATTACAGATAGCCTCATACAGTACACTTTCTGGTCACACTTATGGATGACCTTCCTAAATTTTGAGGAACTCACTGTACGCGTTACTGTGTTCCTGAGACCTGACTTGGTAGAACCATAGTCCTCACTGCATATGTTGAATACAAAGGTTGTGCTTTTGGTTTTCATCCAAGGACTTGTGAGTCCTTGACTCATCCACAATGGAAAAATATTTAGCATGAACTCTGTCTCATCTAGAGCTTTTCTTCCAAGACTGATGTGTGCTTTGCATCTGATTTTCTAGTATGAGTCAGTAAACGTAGCATAGGTGTGTGCTGGCATAATTGTTAGAAGAAGAATGGTTCATGTCTCCTATTTATATAACTTTTCCTGGTTTTCTGTGTATTTTTCTGTGGTGAGGCTGGTAAACTTCCACTCCTCACACTGGTCTTTTTCAGACAGTGATCAAAGTTGTGGCTGGTTTTGTTACTTTAGAGGTATATACCATTACTATGGTATTTGCTATTAGGTAGTTTTCTAATTATTTTCTAATTACTCCACACATACACACAGAGCCCCAAGTTTTTGAGCATGGTCTGTATTTAGCTCAATAACATTTATGCACATTTAGAGTCAAGTACATATTTCAGTGCTTTTATGAACTTTTAAGCCTCTGCCATTACCTTCTGTGTTACTTGCCAGAATTGGAGATGTTTTCTACAGGGTATAAGACAAGTGTTACTCTTATGGTCAGTCTACGTTGGTGAAGGAACTGTTGGGCTCTTTGACTCTGTTCAGGTTGTCTCAGATGTTCATGTTTGCAGTGCTGCATAAATGATTACAACCCAGTATGCTGTGCTTTGTATTTACTAGTTAGCACTTGTGCCAGATACTAAACTATTGCAGAACGTATTGGTAGATAGATAGGCTTTAATTTTGAGGATGAACTTTACAAGAAGCTGGTTTTTCTGAATTAGTCTAATTTTAAAATCAGAAAAAAAATTATACAGTTTATTATATAGTTTCCTTTCTTTTTACTAGTGATATTTATTAGGATATTGTGTTAGTCATAGCATATTAATATCTGGTTATGTTTTTTCTTCACAGCTTTATTCAACCTTATACCAGTCGGACTTCGAGTTGTTGCTATCCAGGGTGTAAAGACTGGGTTGTATATAGCCCTAAATGGAGAAGGTTTCCTCTACACATCAGTAAGTACCTTGCTGAACTCTGTTTAAGAGGCATAACTGAAGTTGAAAGCTACACAGGAATGAGACATTCACTTTTAAGAAGTTCTGTAATGTCTTATATATATATATATACGTATGGTACACACACCCTATATGTACACAGCATTATCTATAAATTGGATTAAGTAGAAATTACTGCGTACTATGTATGAAAGTCTGCATGTTAACAGTCCAAAAAAGGTATACCATAAATCTCTTTTGCTGGTAGGCTGTACTGGTAGTGTGCCATATGCCACAAAGCTTAAATTTTCAATTCATTTCTCAAAAATCTTTAAATAAAGACCTGTAATTATTTTTTAAGTGACTTCTTGATCAGAATCTAAAAGCTACTCCAACAGTTACTTTTATTGATAAGATTTACAAGTGCAACTTCCATCTAAAAGGTTGTAAACAGCCTTACAGTTTATCACCATAATCTTGTAATTGTGTCTTAGCATTATCACTTTTTTATGTCAGATATAAAGAAAATAAAGAGTTCTGTGAGGGACTATATCTTTGTGGAATGATTAAAGTTGAAAAAAAATCTTTCAAGTCACAAAGAAGACTGCTGGATAAAGTGATTGGAAAGATCTCATGTTGTTTATGATATTGTTGATGATATTTCAAATGATTTAATGCTAATCACTCAGTGTGTTGTTGTGAACATAAAATTCCTCAGTTTTGTATAAATTTAGTGTCTTAACCTCCTTTGAAAGGCAAACAGACTTTAATGTGAACAGGCAGTTCTGTCAGGTATTAACAAGGTGGCTTAAAGGATTTTTCATTACTATATTTTTATTGACATCTATGTGGAATTTATTTACATAGTGCTTTTTCCATTTTTTACGTCACATAGTTCTTAATTCCCCACTGAGTTACAATATAGTGCTTTGTTGTCAATGTCCGTTGAAAGGAAATTGGAAAGATTAAGTTTCTGATGCCCTGAGGGAAAGTATTCTGTTTGTCTCAAATATGCAATTTTCTTGGAAAAGCTAATTAGGAAGAAAAAAATGGAACTAATCTTGAATGTCAATGTCAAGACAGAGAGAAAATTCCTCCTTATACAACGTCTGCTGGAAACTCCAGCAGTATGATCTACAACATTTTTTCGCTTCTCTTCAAAATAAAATTTCTATTGCAGGAAAACATGCAATATTTGCTGTCAGAAGGAAGAAAACTAGAAAAAAACCCCCTAGAGTTATTAGAAAAAATGAATTACTGACTTTCCAGTTCCATCACTTCGTGTGGGGAGTTCATTTCTGTATCATGGCATGAAGAGTATTTTTTGAATGTGTTGGCACAGTGAAGAGTACATTCTTGCCCAGTATTGTTTCTGAAGTGAGCACTCAGTCCTGCAGAAAGAAATACAAATTTCAGAAGGTGTACAGTTTACTGATGGATAATTCTGCAGATGGAACCCTACATAAACAAATTCTCACAGCCATTGTATTTATGTATTCTGGAAATAGTTCAAGTTAAATGAAGTAAAGTGAGGCAAGGAAATGAGTGTTTTTATAATGTACTGCTCACTCTTGTGCAGAGAATGAAAGATGACTGGTCCATTAAATGGCAAAGAGATTTGACACATTAGAAAACACAGTGGAAGACTTTAGTTTTGATATGTCTACAAAATGATTTTCAACTTAACCTTTTGTCAAGCAGAAAAGTAATAATTTGATCTAATACAAATTTAAAGGTAGTGGTTTCAAAACATCAGTACTGTAATACAGGTTTGATTGCTTCATATTAATGTATTGAAAACATTGGTAATACACTTTTGTCTCAGCAATTGCCTGCTTTCAGCATAAAGACTAATGAATTTGAAAATAAGACAACAAAGCATGAGAGAAGTCTGTCTCCTACTGAGGATCAAAATGAAGAAATAATGTGTGCAGAATTAAATACTGTCATTTGTAGAAAAGTATTTTTAACAAATCACTTTCTCTTACTGTTCTGTTTGTGGATTTTTGACTCGTTTTCACGTTTGTGTATCTGTTGCACCTAAATGCTGAAGTTCTATATTATATGTCACATATTTTTCCCTTGATTGTTTAGGGGAGGATGGAAGAAAAAAGTTTTTGAAGTTTTGTATGATGACCATCATAACTGAAAAAAAGTGCTGCATAATGGGAATGATAGTTAAAATTTGTACATATTTATATTTATTACTAATTTATTATAAGGATTTGAAAAATGGAAGCCTGCACTGTAGACTAAGCAGCATTTGTAGTCTGAGACCGAAGTTCTGTATAGTCCTTTTCCACAGAATACCTCAGTGTCCCTTTTTCCTTTCACAGTGTACAAAACCCATATCTTGTGAGAATATACTACATGTTGATGCCTTTCTTCAGAGACTGAAGGCCCCAACTCAATTATTTTTATCATAAGGTTCACATCCTGTTGACTAATTAAGCAACAGCACTGACAGGAAAGGTATTATGTGTGAACCTGCTTTCTCTGATATGAAGTGTTCAGTAAGAAGAAAACAAAGGTACAGTTACAGACCGGCTTTACATACAAATCACCAAAAGCAGAATTACATTGTCTTTTGGCTTTTTTAATTTTTTTTCTTTTCTCAGTGGTTGGTTGTGTCAGTTTGACTGTCTCCTCCCCCCTTTCCCCCTTACTTTATTCTGACATATTTAAGATTTTTTCAACTATTTCTCAGAACTAGAACTATCAAAATATGCAGAATAATCATAGAAGAATCTTATGGCAGTATTTCTTTGAAGAGAAACAGGGGGACAGCAAATTCTGTAGGAAGGTCACTCTCAAGAGCTTTTCATACCTATTTTGCCTGCTGCAGCAGTTGAGATTTGTATTCTGTCCTTTCAGGATTGATCAAGCCAGGGTGTCTATCATACACCATCAAAGTCTTGTCAAATAAAGGAGAAGCAAAATCTTTGGAGTTTGATAGGGATTAGCAGAATTCCTGAGAGAAATTATTTTTACAAAATCATGACCTAATTTTTTCTATGCGTTTAATTATTGTAATACCAAAATTCATTTTTTCTGTCAGATAAAATATGAGAACAAGAGCCTTTTCATGTTGTTTTTTATCTTGCACTTTTAAGGGTTATCCCACCTAAAGACTATCTCACCGATTTGGAAGTTTTGGGTTACTGCATTCAACTTCATTTCTGTGTGTATATATATATATATATACACATATATATTTATATTGATATATATCTACTCATAATTAAGATATATTTATCTAGTGACAGCTTTCAAATTCTACGTGTGTTAGTGAGCAATGACAATTATAAAAGTGAGTTGAAATTTATTTTAGCTGGTTTAATGAACCGTGAATAATTCAGAATTTATGTCTGACTTAATAACTGTGAAAGCTAGTTGGAGAATCTGGATTTTTCCACAAAGAACCATCTCAGTTGCTAGTAAGACTTTTGACATAATAGTTATGGACTTCCCATGTTAAAGTCAAAAATGATGCCTTTCTCCTGTCTTGCCTTTGGAAAGGGTGGGCAAGATGAGGTTTCTTTTCCAGGTTTTATCTTGTCATAATCAAAAGGAGTGAAACTGGCTCCATACACTGAAAAAGGGAGCACAGCTCCAGGGATTCTCCATGGGGAACAGGTATTGCCTGCAGCAGGAAGATGGCAGTGCAGTACATGGCAGAATCTCTTGTTGGGTTTGATGCTAATTTTGCTCAACTCCCTTTGCAAGTAGTTCATTAGTTCAATTTTCAGGGGGCTGCAGCTTCTTGTTTTGCTTTTAGGATTTTCTGCTATCTTAGCAGGATGAACTCAAAGGTAAAACTTATGTTAGTCCATTTTATGATTCCTATTTTCCTATGATGAGGATATGAGAGTCTTCTGGGTTTATATCAGTGAATTTTTCTCAAGAATTATTTTATATATCTGGGAGAGTTTGGAAGGGCTACTGGTTTCCTTTTTCATCGTAGGAGCAGAGTATTATCAATATTTGGTGGCTATCAGAGTAAAAGAAAAGGGAAAATCTAAAATGTAGAAAAGGAAACATCATAACTCTAGAACACCTTCACCTGCTTTTGCTATCTTCTTCATGTTTCCTTTTTTACTATTTCTTCTGCTAATTTTCTGAAACCAGCGATGTGGACAAAACCAGAGAGAGAAGACTACACCTGTGATATTGTCATCAGTAGATATTAAAGACCTAGGAAACCACTGTCTGATTTCCTTGTAAGACTGAAGCTTTAAAAGATGACTGAGCCTGAAGGGCCCGATGTGACCTGCCTAGTCATGTCTTCCAGCATTGTGTGCCATGGCTCCAGGGATCCTCTTCTGGGTATGGGGCAGTGGGAACGTCACTGGGAGGATGGAAGGACATGGCTGCATTTCTGGGAAGTTTACCAACTCTTTATAAAGTGTTTCAGAACCACTCACTTAACAGAAAAATCTTCCTGTAGGATGGTGGTTTGTATTTTTGATCTGCCACGGTATGCAGTGTTGAGGGTGTTGAAAGAGTGTTGGTCAGGGTAGCATTTCTTCTGCAGTAAGATATGAGTCTGTATCACAGCCTTCATGAAAGACAGAGAGTATCAATATCTGTTACTGGGAAGTGCGTTTGTTATATGACTCTGGCAACTCTCACCTGAAAGAAAAGCCTTTGAGGATTTCTCCTGACATTTCAGCAGCTTCCCAATGCCGAAATTTCCACAATTTCTTTAAGCCCACATTATTGACTTCACTGAGGAGAATGAAATTCAGCCTCAAGGAAGAAGATAGTAGCACAGACAGTGAAGCCTGAGAGTGAGAACTGAAGTAGTCTGTATTTCTAATTAACACCTTATAATAAACAGAGCAGAAGGAAGTTAAAACTACACAAAACCAAAGAGGAAATGTGATGTTTTAAAATCTGCAGGTTTTTACAAGAATAATCAGAAAGGTGTTAACATTGACATCAAGGCATTATTTTCTGTTATAACAGTAGTCGACCTAGGTTTTGGCAAAGATCATTCCCCATCTTGCAAGGTACTGTAG